GGAAGAAAATGTACAAATTTGGTTCAAGGATTTTGCTACGGTTTCCTCGTTCGTGGACCAGTTTTAATTGTTCACACGCCACAGAAGAAGAAAATTAACTCAATCTAAATAAAATCTGATCTAAAAATCAAATAGGTATGTATATTTTGTTAGTGGTTACCGTGATTATAGGAAAATCTTAATCGAATGATTTGCGTATCATTGTATTTCCTTTTTCTGATTTTGTCAAAGATGTATATAATCCTGTATGTATCATTCATCATTCTCAATCAATAAAAATATTTACCTTTGTAAAGTCAAACATGGCATCCAGAGCCTCTATTGTCTAAAGACACAAATATCCCCAAAACCCTTGTTTTTTTTTCGTCATCTCCATTTTCCATCGTCGACGTCGCCGCCTACCATGACCACCGAAACTCCCTCCAACTCTGGCTCCATCCCAAGTGATCATGTCACTCCCCACAATCTGCAAGATCCAACCTCTACATTGATCAACGTCAATGTATCCAACGTTTCCAAATTAACGGGAACAAACTACATAACCTGGAGCATTCATATCTATGCTCTCTTGGAAGGTTACAATCTCGAGACATATCTCGACTCCACCAATGCCCCGTCGCCTACTATCATCAGCAACAATGCCATTACTCCGAATCCAGCCTTCGTTCCATGGCATTGTCAAGACCGTCTTGTCTTCTTCGCGCTTCTTGGATCTATCTCTGGTCCGTCACAAGCACTCGTCGCCACCGCCACCTCCTCTGCCGCAGCATGGAAAACACTTGCTGAAACTTACGGAAGATCAAGCTACACGTCAAGCAAATGAAGGAGCAAATGCGCCGACACACCAAGGGATCCAAATCCATTGATGATTATATGCGTTTCTACAAAACAAAGGCTGATGAACTTGCTTTACTTGACAAACCGATGGACCATGAGGATTTAATCGACCTCATTTTTGGAGAATTAGGCGATGAGTATAAATCTGTAAAAGATATTGTACATGCTCGGGACACGACAATCAGCTTTGTGGAGTTGCATGAGAAACTTCTTTCTCATGATGTTGATCTTGGCTCGCACTCGTCAAACATATTTTAAAACCAATTTAAATGAAATTTATGAATTCAAGTTGGATATAAAAAATAAATTAAAAAACTAAATGAAAATGATTTTTAATAAATGATTTTTAATAAAAACTGAACTCGGGGACCAAACAAAAAATTGACGTAAAAAATCAAATAAGTAAAAGCTTTTTCAAAAACAAATAAACAAGCCAAAAATTACCACAACCCCGAAATACACAACCCTAATTTACCAAAAAAGAAAAGAAATACACAACCCCAATCAATAACGTAAAAGTCATGTTTTTCAATTTAGAAAAGAAAAACGATTCGGAGGAAGTATGGAAAAGGACAAAAAAACACAAGTAAGATGTTCAATCACGACATACAATGGTTTATCCCACTTCAAGTTCAAGTCTTAAGTTCTAATCACTTGATTTACTTTCCATTTCGTGATTAGTTTGGTTTCAGTGCGCTCGTTTAAAAAAAAAACTATGGCATAGATTTTTTTTGTAAGTCTATGAGAAGTTTTTTCATGTAATAAAACCCAAAAAAAGGAATAAAAAACGTGCAAAAAGGAGAAAGTCGATGGAACGTTTCAGTGTGTTTCTTCTTCTATTCTTTGTGTCGTACAAATGGCAGATTCACAAATTTTCTGGATGACTAATTAATGATTGGGCTTCCCAAAAAAAAAAATATTTTCACCCAAAAAAAAACTCTTCCCCTTCACAATAAAATGTTTCCTAAGCCGTTGAAATCCGTCAGTTTGCTCTACATTTGTACTTGTTCTTCAGTTTTCAAGATGGTCTTTGCTTGTCCCTTGTCCATTTTCGTCTGAATAAACCTGAAATATTCTTAGACAGAATAGAAATATGTTGGATAATTTTGCAACGATTTAAATTTGTCGGAATCGATTACGAAAAATGGAATCGGGTTAATGTCAAGAGAATTTTACTCTGTTCGTTCTTTTGACTCAGAAAACGAAATGCTTCAAAAGAGGGTATTACCATTTTGGATCTGTCATCTGTAGAAGTCGTGGTTCTAAGCTTCAGTTTTCAAGACGGTCTTGTTTGTCCTTGCCCGTTGTCTTCTGGATAAACCTGAAAAATCCCAACAAAAGATCCATTACGAAAAAAATGAACTCGATTGTAATTTTATTCGGTTCGATCTTACAATTACAGTACGCTATGTTTATTTCCGCAATTTGGTTGATCGTTATACGAAAAAACGAGAGAAAACAAGAATGTGTTAAAAGGATGTACTACCATCTGGGATCTGTCCTCCGTGAAACTCATGGTTCTAAGCTTGAGTTCTCCTCTGCTGGTAGTGATCTCGTCAAGAATCTCGGCGTCGTAAAACTCGTCTTCTTCGCTCTCGGTCATCAACGGGATATGTTGCTCTCTTGGTTCCTGCTCCAAGAAAACGGTTGTTGTCAAGCAAAATATGTTCCGAAAGTACGATTAGAGAAGCTGAATGTTGAGATAGAGGCGATGAATAAAGGGTTGGAGCACAAGGAACAAGACTCAGAGCATAGCATAATTCCCGCGTGGTTACTTGCAAGTCACCGTTGAGGCGTTGAGTGTTCCTTGTGCTCAAGTAACAGAAACGAGCGGAAAGGACTTTACCCTGTAGGTGAAACTCGGGTTTCGTTGTGGTACGCCTATGATCTCTTCGTACTCGGAAGAATCAAGAACTTGAAGATGCGTCGGGTCGAATAGCTTGGGGAGGATGTACTGTCGTACGGCGATGAGGAAGAAGAATGGCAGGGGAAACAATATTCCACCTACCGGTATCCAAGTAACCCCATAACAGACGAGAGGCTTCACAAAAGATTACACTGGGAAATCGAAGAGACAAGAAAAAACTAGGTTAGGTTAACTTGAAAAGATCAAAATCTGTTACTTGGAACTCAGACACAACACACACAAATCTATAAAGCTTCATCTTACCATGGTTCAAGCATCTAAGTTTTGCAGTAGCTAGAAAACTATGAAGAGCGTAAACGCAACAATCGACTTGCTCGGTACGATCTCGAGAAACGATGCGTGTAGACCCTCCAAGACCCTGTTTTAGATTGAAAATACCGCAAAAAAAACGAAGATCAAGGTTCAGTTTTACTTACGGATTGATGCAAAAAGTATCGAGATTTGTGGAGAAGTGGTGTTTTCGTACTTGAAACGACGGCTAGGAGTGACCAATAGCAATAGAAGTCTTTCCCAGAACTGATTCCCTGGGAGACTATCCACGGCCATGTAGGAAAAGTATCCCCAGAGAACTGAAGTGGGGATCATTCTGATGACAGGCACGACCAAAATCAACAAGCCCACGAGGATGGATTGCAAGAGGTTGCTCACTCTTTGCTCGTTAACTCTAACGGGCAAATGCGCTTCGATATGAACCTCAGGATCGAATTTCCCTTTTGCATCTCCTCCATCTTCAGCTTTCATCACTGCTTCCTTCAAGTTCTCTAATTCTTGCTCCACTGAAGCAGCCTGAACAATGTTGCCCAGATCAGGAAAGAGTTTAGGACAAAGAGAGAGCAAGATAGAGAGAAGGTGTTGTATGTATGCCTTTGGGGATGTCTCCATTTCTATGAACACATCTTGCATCCTCCCGTAGATCTCGGAATGGCTTGCTTTCTTCTTCATGCATTCTTTTGCACTTTCGACCATTTTCTTTCGCATTTGCTGCCGAACAAACACCCAATATTCAGAATTCAATTGCCTGGTATGAAAATATCTTTGAACGTGTATTCTATTCCACTTTTTTTATATTATATGTGAAAACCCTCCTAACCTGCCTCTTTAGAACTGCAAGACTCTTTGTGTGCATTGGGGATTGCGGAATAACCCCGTTTGAAGGAGGAAGTCCAAGCAGACCGCAGATTAATGTCTACAACAGTTCAAAACGCGAAAGAGAAATTCATTTCAAGTACCATGCGAGGCAACAACATGATCCAAAAGAGAGTAAATTAGTCGTGATGCAACATAGGCTTACCATAATTCCCAGAACAAAAATGTCATAGTGATAAGCGGGTGGATTTTTCAGATTAAACTCCTTCTGCTGAGCCATTTGTGCAGAGACACTATGATCAAAGAAGTACAGACCCGCAACCATGATTGCTGGTATGAAAGCAGCAAGGATGTAAATCATTGGGACCTTTCCCATATCCTGCAATATGCAGAAAATCATTGCCATTCTATGTTGCACTTGTTGATTCTTGTTCTGTTTAAACAAATTCTCTAGGTACTAGTACCTTGACAACTGTCCAATGATACAAGGAGGCAGGTTCCCAAGGAAGAGGACACTCCAGCCTCCTGGGAACTGCTGAAGGAACTTCCCGGGGGATTGTGTAAGACAATGCTGTCCACAAGACGACCATAAGAAGAGTTCCATAATCTCCAACAAAACTTCGGATCCACCCTGCAAGCAGTGAGGTTTTTTGTGCTAGTTATTGACCATGACCCGGATGTTTTTATGTCAGGAATGATCAATTGTTAATACAATCACATACTAAAGCCATATTTCCATGATCTCGCTCTCCTGCTTTTCAGGGCAGTGAAAAGAAGACCAAATGAGAAAATAACAGCAAGCAGTCCGTTTGTGTATCGCCACTGGAACTTATACTCTTCCAATCTAGGATCTTCGGCTTTAGGAACACGGAACTCGCTAATAAGCCCCTGCATTTGAGAATAAAAAAAATATCTGGTTAAGTTAAAACCTCATATGATTGTCTGCGTCCTTTACATGGGAACGACTAACCAATACCTTGACAGCCTCTTGGATAAAAAGAACGGTTATCAACATGCCAAAGAGTTCTCCTGCTATTCTGGTAAACCTAGAAATGATGTTGCTTGCGTTTAAAATTGCAAGAAGCATGAGCAAAACTGCAGTCCAGACACAGACCCTGTTAAACAATAGAAAAAAAGGGAGATGGAAAAATCAGAAAGGACAATCAGAACACGGAAATACACATGGTTATGAGAAACAAAGAATAGAGCAGACAGGTTTCCTTACCATCCTGCCCACGCTAAGTAGAGTTTCTGACCCAAATCCGGCCTGCCTTTGCTGAAACTGTGAAGATATGTATACATTATAATTGTGGGTTCTGCAACCCCAAGTAACATTAGAGGCTGTCCTCCAAATATTGAATGAATGATTCCACATAGAGCAGTGGAGGCCAATGTTTCCGCTATGCCGAGACTTCCGTCTAGAGAAAGAGAGAATGTTTAGCCATATAGCAAACATATCTATAGAATCTTGCAGGTTTTAGAAGAACAAAAGGTAGCTCACCTGTCTCTCTACTTAGCTGCTCGCCGAAAGCAATTACAGGAAGTGCAGAGGCGATGAAAATGTATAGAGTTGGAGCCAGTATCCTGGCGCGAAAATGACACTTTGTTAGATATTTGGGACGATATATCATGTAAAGCCATTTATCAAACAAACATGAATCTACCTCACACCGGACTGGAAAGCACCGATCCAATCTTGCTTGTAGCATTGGCATCTTCCTTTGAAGTCTTTAATAATCCCCTCAAATGGAGCGTTTACCCTCTCCATCGCCAAAGTTCAGGAATCAGCAGCTTTTAGATGTACCAAAAACTGTATGCACGAACAAGATACGCAAATTCAAGCGAATGAATAGGAATCTTGATTGGTTGTAAATTTCACAGTCATAGTCATCCGCTAGAATACTTGGAATTCATGAGATCTCTTATGATTGACCATTCTTTCTTCACATCCTTCATCGATTCATAATTTAATTGTTAGTATCTAGATGAACATTCACGACGCCGTGAAACGAAATCATACAGAATATAGTGTTTGGTGTATATAGAAAGGCGCTAATAGAACAAACACATGATGAACTGGAAATCAAACCTAAACATTTTTTCCCTTCTTTCGTGATGAAAATCACACTTCTCAGCTTTAAACATAAAATTCTTCGCTCAATTACCAAAAACAAACCAATAGCTCATAACAAACACAATTAGAAACAAGCAAAATCCTTCATCGCCCACACTTTCTCCTCAAAATTCCAGCAGCTTTCTCATCAACCAAACAGATACGAATCCGCGAACAGGAACCGATTCCAGATAAACACCACAAATCAACTTGCCGTCTCCGACACATTCATAGAGATCTACGAAGATGAATGAAATTAAAGAAAATCGCACCTGGAGTCGCAGAGAAGCATACAGAACCACGTCGTTGGCCTCCGGCGCGCCTTCACTGCCGTGGAGGAAAAATCCACCACCGTGAGAGATCGGATCCCGGCGAGCCACCGTATGTGGACGAAGAACGCGTGAGGATGGAGAAGAAAGAAGAGACGACGTCTTCTTTTGAATCTCTGTCTTCTCGAGAAAAGAAAGAGAGAGAGAGAAACGGAGAGAAAGAAAGAGAGAGAGAGAGGGATGGCGCCACGGCCCGCGAAATAGGTGGTGGTGACGTTAAAATTTGAAACTTTAAATATTTATTTTAGAAAATAAAAAAATATTAATAGTATATGTAAATTGAACCCGGGAGAATTGCTTCAAAATAACAACACTTACTTGGTTAGAAACCTTTGTAATGTCAAAAGAAATGTGTTGTCCTATAAATAGAATTGTGTTTCTGTTTTTGTCTTATTCTGTAAATTACGTTACCTATATCTCGTATGTGTTGTTTCTTGGGTTACAAGAAACAAACTTGTCTTGTTAATAAGTGGAATGTAATTAGCCTTTATATCATATCTCATCGGACATAGAATCATTTAGAGAGATTAGCGTATCACACTATTGTTGCTTCGAATCAACGACGGTATTTTTTCTTATAAAAAACTAATTACACATTTATTTTATGTAGAAAAAACTTCTCATATAGTTTACAAAACAATGCAAAGCCTTATAAAAGAAGAGACACAAAAAACACTTTGAATCGTATCTTATTTGATACGGAATTTATCATATTATATCGGCTCGGAACATAAATTCTATCTGACTTATACCACTGTTTATCATCGTCTGACTATTTTTATTATTAACCGAATAGTCGAATCGAACCGAATAAAACATAACCGTAATCAAACCGAATTCGACATAAAAACCGAATGGTTATGATTTCTCTAAACTCGAAAAAACCGAACCTAGTCGGACCGATTAAAAAAATAACCGAAAAAACCGATTTTTTTTAAAATGAGTTTTTTACAACAAAAAAAAATCCGATTCCAACTGAAAAATAACAAAACTAAAATTTATATAAAAACCGAATGGTTGTAAATTTTCTATATCCGAATCCGAATATACCTGAAGCGAAACCCGAAATGACCACCCTAATAGTCGTTACTTCGATGAACAACCATCTTTTTTAGTAAAAATCGTACTTATAATATATACCTCCATTCCACATAGAAAACCCCTTATATAAGTACCCCAAAAAAAAAGTTAAAAGAGAAGAGATTCTAATAATTAAAAAAAATATGGCCCATATACAAACTCTCAGCTTTAATCATCTTTAGAGAAACAAAGGGAATTCCAAAACAAGAGAGTGAATCTCCAAGGGACTTATTCCAGAGGTGGAAACAATACAAATTTAGGGATTCAAAGAGGAAAGACTCTCCTCGCACATACATGGTTTTCTTCTACACACTGAACGATATTCGATGTAATAGTGAGCATAAAACAAGATTCAAGATGCACGCCGGATTTGCAAATTTACCCGGGAAGCGTTCTTATCTCGTTCCCGCGTATCTATTTCACAGGCCACGTCGCTTGTGCTGACATAATGATTCCAACAATCACTCCAAACAACCCGAGAGCGCTCCCGAAGATCTCGATCACAAGAATCTTCACAAACAGCGAGGAGTTCTGGGCATCGGACAAGGCGCAACTGCTCCCGATGATTCCGACACATAATCTGCAAAAAAAGGGGGTGGCAGCAAGTTATTTGGATTGTCATATGATATGACTGGAAAGAATCAAATCTCAATTGCAGAGGAGGAAGGGAAGGGAAGGGAAGGATGAAGAAACAGACCCACAAACAAGGTTTGCAAATCCAACTATAATCCCAGAAGCAAAGATTGCATATCCAGCTCTAAGAGACTCTGCGTCATACATCATTGATGACGGGACACTCTCCAACTTCGTTTGCAGAATGATTGCAACAATCACACCATATATAGCCACGGCTTCACAAAAGATTACACTGGGAAATCGAAGAGACAAGAAAAAACTAGGTTAGGTTAACTTGAAAAGATCAAAATCTGTTACTTGGAACTCAGACACAACACACACAAATCTATAAAGCTTCATCTTACCATGGTTCAAGCATCTAAGTTTTGCAGTAGCTAGAAAACTATGCATCAAATTGCAAATGCAAACAAGAAAAGGCAACAAACCGAGTAACAAAAAACGTAGGATTGATTCATGTGTCTATTTCGAGTACTGGGAAAAGCATTCTTCAATGTTATCCCTTTGCAACCAAACCCCATAGCAAGATCAGCTTGCACTGGAATCTGGTGTGAGAGGAAAGAACAGGCTCCTTCATAGCGTCCAGGATTGAACCCGAAAAGGTAGAACCTTGGATATATACACTGTTTTAACACAACATTAATCTACGAGTCCTTGCAACACCACAATACCTCAGATCCAAAATCTCTTACTCTGGATTCTCAGGTCATGGTCAACATTATTTTATTCACCATGGGAGAAGGGCATCGAAACGCGGAGATAAAATTGGATTTCCGATATCGCAACAATGAAGAACTTCGACATACCTGATGAGATTCTTCGAAGTAATACGAGGAGCCTCGATTGCCGCACCGATCAAACTACTTCCTGTAATGTAAATTCCCCTAAACCAAACAAACAAATAGATTAACGAACGCGACATCCACCGGGCCACCAATCAAATTGACCAAAATCTAGACACTAGACAAAGAAGAAACGAGTAAGACCGCCGATGTTTACGCCTAAATGAAGGAGGAGGAGGAGTTACCATGCGGCGCCGAGGACGGAGACACCGATCGAGATGGCAATTCCGATGGCGGAGAAAGTGTAGGGCGAGATCTTCACCAGCGCTGCCGCCCAAGAGCCCGGATCGGTAACCATACTTGACTCTCTCTCTCGCTCGCTGTGTCTCGCTGTATATCGAGAAGAGACGATCTGCTTCTCTCTCTCTGCCTGTATCGGAGGAGAAAAATTATGAGGGCGTGTGATCTGTAATTCGATGACGGTTGAACACGCGCTGTCGTGTGAGCGTGAAATACCGAGATGATCGTAAACGACGGCGTTTAAGAACAAAAACGACATTTTTTCCGTATTGTCTTCTGGGCCCTTTTCCCGTGTCTGGCCCATGAAACGTTTTTCATCTCGGCCCATTACACATTTGGTTTTGTTATTTCAAAAATAAATTATGTTAAACTATGATGGATGGAGAGGAAGAATTATATAGATTTCAAAAATAAATAATCGAATAATCGAAATAAATAGAATAAGATATAATTATATTTGAACCAAGATATAAAAATTGAACGGTTATAATTTTTTTAAATTTGAAAAAATTCGACTCGAGTAGATAAAAAAATAACTAAAAAAATCGATAATGTTTTAAAATTTTAATTTTTTATAACAAAAAAACCGAATCCGAACTGAACTAAAAAATAATCAAAATTTATATAAAAATCGAATATTTATAATTTTTCTGTAATCGAAATAACTAAATCCGAATATAATCAAACCGAAATTCAAAATGACTGTCCTATAAAGAATAACAAATAATAATTATAAGGATGACCAATGAAAATTTTGAGTTTCTATATTTATTTATTTTTAATATATCGGTTCGATTTTTATATTAAATTAAGCTTTGCTTGATTTTATTTAGTTGGTGTTATTATAAAAAATATTTAAAATTTTAGATTTAATTGTAGTTTTTTATCTTATGTTAATTCAATTTCTGTTATTTAAAAAAAGTCGGAAAAATGATATATTGTTGGATTTCAAAACTTTGGGAAACGTTATGGGGAATTGGGAATGGTAGCCTGTAGACTCTAGCAATAATCGCAAATAGAAGTGTAATGATAACGAATTAACAATAACAATAATAATAATAATAATTAAAAATAAAAAAATGAGACGTCGTAGTCAGGACAGAGATGCAATATTACAATATGATAATGATAGCCAATGAGCATGTGTTATCACATGCTACCACGTCAAGTAGCTTCATGTCGGTCCATATAATTTTTTATTAACCAGAAAAAAAAATACTGTCCTCATCGAAAACCCACAACGAAAAGTCCCAAGATTCAAACCATGAGATCCGAATATTTCCTAAACAATTCCACAAATATATATATATTTATCTCAAAACGATCGGGAAAAAAATCTCCACGCGAGCCAAACGGCACCGTTTTCTCCAGTTTTATTGTCGCATCTTTTTCCCCTTTTATAACCGTCGAGCCTCTGCAACCCCTCCCCTTTGCCACAGAGCTGTCACGTAAGCCACAGTCCGCAATTTTTCCCGCAT